TGCGCCGGACGCTTCAAAATCGCAGTTTTACAGTTTTTGGCGGTCGAACCTCGTTTCGTGCGAAAGGGTTGTCGCGGACACTTCACAATCGCAATTTCACTGCAGTTTTTTTGCGATCGAACCTCATTTCGCGCGAAAGGGTTGTCGCGGACACTTCAAAATCGCAATTTCACTGCAATTTTTTTGCGATCGAACCTCATTTCATGCGAAAGGGTTGCGTTTCGTGCCGTCTCGTTGGCACTGCCCCGCGCCTTAAGAGAGAAATAGAAAAGAAGGAAAAAGAAGAGGGCAAGAGAGCAAGAGGGCAAGAGAGCAAGAGGGCAAGAGAGCAAGAGGGCAAGAGAGAATGGATGTGAAGATGTGAGGATGTGAAGATGTGAGGATGTGAAGATGTGAAGATGTGAAGATGAGAAGATGTGAAGATGTGAAGATGTGAAGATGAGAAGATGTGAAGATGTGAGGATGTGAAGATGTGAGGATGTGAGGATGTGAAGATGTGAAGATGAGAAGATGTGAAGATGTGAGGATGTGAAGATGTGAGGATTTGAGGATGTGAAGATGAGAAGCTGTGAAGATGAGAAGATGTGAAGATGATAAGATGTGAAGATGTTCGGATGTGAAGATGTGAGGATGTGAAGATGTGAGGATGTGAAGATGTGAAGATGAGAAGATGTGAAGATATGGGGATGTGAAGATGTGAGGATTTGAGGATGTGAAGATATGAAGATTTGAAGATGTGAAGTGAAGATGTGAAAATGTTTGACAGACCCTCACTATTAGAAGAACCCTTCGCTCAGAAGCTCTCGGGAAAAACGACAAGAATTGAACACAAGGTAAACAAGTGAAAGCAAGAGAAATTAAAAAAAAGGTGAACACCGGGTTCTTCAAAAAAAACAGCCATCCTCCTACATGTGGTCACATCACACCTGATCCCCCCGCGCCTCTTTGATCAATGTTGTTGCCCAATGCATGCCGGCATCCGAACCGAAATGGCTGTTTTTTCTGAAGGCCTTTCCAAGCAAAGCGATGTAACAACATTGAATTGGGGGAAGGGGGGCATGCAAGTTTCTTCGCAATGAGTTTGACAGGATGGCTGTTTTTTTGAAGAACCTGGACAACACCTGAAAACCACGAAGTGCATACAGACATTAAAAGAAAACGGTCAAAAACTCAACTGTTTATCTATTTTCCACACATTTTGGCTTTGTTCAAGAATACTCTGCAAATAGGTTTAAACACATTTTTACATTTGTTTTTGCCATCTTGTAATGGTTTTTACATGTTTGCATTTCTTACAACATGTTACACATTTGCCACGTTTTTTTACACTGGTTAAACACTAGTTTTACATCGCTTAAACCATGTGGTTCGCAACCCGGACGTTTGACCACACACCCAAAGCATGCATTGGTTGGAAAAGTTCAAAAACACCGACTGTACGCAGGAAATCGTACTTTCAGGGTTTTAGGGTGTCTAGCATTTTGGTGTTCTTTTAGGGATGATGGTTTAGGGTTTATTTCTTAGGGCCTTCAGGTTTTATTGCGCAACAAACTGCCAAAAAAAATGCGCCAGTGTTGGTGCGATGGTGTGCCCATACATGTGGCGCTCCGGTCTCGGGAAGTGCTCCGTGGTTAAGCGTCAGTGTTGCAGCGAAAATGTTTCCATGTTGACATTCTTCCACTTTTTTCATGTTTCTTTTCAGTACACTTTGTTTAGGGATAGGGGTCATTTTTTCTGGATCAAAAAAATAATTTGGATCCAACAAAAACTATTCTGGATCAAAAAATATATGTTTGAATAGGAAAGAAGGAAAGAAAGAAAAGAAAGAAAGAAAGAAAGAAAGAAAGAAAGATAGATAGATAGAAAGAAAGGAAGGAAGGAAGGCAGAAAGAAAGAAAGGAAGGAAGGAAGGCAGAAAGAAAGGAAGAAAGAAAGAAAAAAAGAAAGAAAGAAAGAAAGAAAGAAAGAAAGGAAGGAAGGAAGGAAGGCAGAAAGAAAGAAAGAAAAAAAGAAAGACAAGAAAAGAAAAGAAAAGACAAGAAAAGAAAAGAAAAGAAAGCAAGAAAGAAAGAAAATAAAGAAAGGAAGAAAGGATGAAAACAAGGAAGCAAGGAAGGAAGGAAGGAAGCAAGGAAGGAAGGAAGGTAGGAGGGAATAATAATATAATATAATCATATTCATATATTTACATCATATATTATACGTAGAAACATATTTATGTTTACACATGCACAAATTTTTATGTGCTTTATCTGCAAAAAATATCCCTAAAGAAACCCTGCAACCAACTTTAAACAAATTCCAGCTGGATCCGAAACCAACTTTTAAGAAAAACTTTGAGCCAACTTTAGAAACACCCTGAACCAAATCTAAAGAAACCCCAAACCAAGCCTAAAGAACCCCAAAACCAACCCTAGATAAACCTTAAACCAACCTGAAAAAATCCTAAACCGACACTGCCATAACACTCAATTCAACTATTTGCACCGTTTTTCACCCAACACCGTGGTGCCTCAACCATCCCCAGCCTACTCAACATGTTCACAAGGGGCATGTTCGGCATTATAAACACATTGAGTACCATATTCAAACTACAGCATTGCCTGTGAAAACAGATATTGTCATTCTGCTTTAGGGGGAGGCGCGGCGCCCTCCCCCCAAGCCCACCTCCCGTTTTTAAAACTCAAGTCTAACTCTGCACACTTGCAGTACACTTCTCTGCATGTATATATATATATATGTTTTTCCATGTATTTAGATATTTTTTTAATGTGTGTATATCTTTCTTTTTTCCTCTCTCTCTCTCTATACACAAGTAACTATTATATATATATATTTAACATGACATATAATATTATTTACATATAATATCATATACACATCATGTTTTTGATCTCTTGGGAATATTTTTGATCCCAGAACAATTTTTTGATCCCTTGCCCTGTGTATATGATCATATAGTATCAAACATAAATAAGTATATATATATATATAGATATGGACATGCATATTTACAACTATTTACATGCACGCACCGATCCCCAAATGAACCCAATCCAACCCTAAAGCAACCGCAGACAAACTTTAAAACTTTAAACAGGCCCTATGCCGACACCCAAAAAACCTTAAACCAACCCCAAATAGACCCTAAAACAAGGTCACGTGCTGGTATTTAACCTGGTCTCATTTGTGTCTTCGACAGCGTTTCGTCCTGTAAATTACAGGAGTTCGTGTTATTGTGGTAAAATCAGCCGTGGCGTCGCGTTTCGTTTTCACTCATTGCAATTTTCCGACGTGAGACTTCAAGTCGGCGGTGACTGGTAGGTGGTATCGCCAAACAAAGGCATGCATGTACAAAATCAGTTTTTGATTCACACCACCTTTGGACCAGTCTTTGTTGTTCAACGCCGAAGGAATGAAACGGTCAAGGGATTGCCACCATCTGTCCACTGCTTGAGTTCCAGCAATGGTGGCTCCTGGTTTCTTCCATGTTTCAACTTTCGAGTGAACTGGTGTTTTCGATGTGCAACTGGAAAACTCTTGATCCTTTTCTCTTCGCACAGGCTCTCCCACGCTTTGGCTCCATCACTATAGAGTCGGATTTTTTTGGAGTCGCCCAAAAAGGTCATGATCTTGGACTGAACAATTTCAGGCTTGGATTCCACAGGTGGACTTGCACCTGGAGGCACTAGCTTGAATGGTAAAACCTTCAAAACAATGTTGCCACCTCGTTTTGCGACCGGCCCCATGTAACTTCTAGCTTTCAAACCAAGTACTCGGAAATGTGCTTGCCGATACTTGGGCACCGGCTTGAGCGGCTTTGCTTTTTGGAAGCGCGTGACAGCAGCAGCAACTTCTTTTTGAAAGTGAGGCTTGTTTTGTCCGACATACAGTTTGCGAAGGCCATGAGCTCTGCGTAACCAGACGTTATTATCCCACCCCACCCCACCCCACCCCACCCCAGACAAAGCAACACGGACAGGGAAATACCAAAAAAACGCGCAAAACTACCAGGTTATTTATCAGCACGCCTTCTAAAAAACAACCATCAATGAATCTTAAACCAACCCGAAATGGATTCATATTTTGGATAACTTCTCCAAGTGGCAATCTAGACCCAGCATCAAAGTTTATTTCTGTCTGGAATAATTTGTTTTTGATGCCCTCGAGTGGCGAGCTATGGCATTTCGATCCCCCTGTTCCCTGATCAAAAACAACATATTTTGGATCAAAAAATATATCCAACCCGTCATTGAAATAGATTTCTGTAGGAAATATGTTTCTTGATACCGGGTGTTTTATTTTTTGATCCGGAATATTTTTTTGATCCCTCACTCCTTTGTTTACACCTTTAGATTTGGTTTACATTTTTAAAGAGCACTTTTTGCCAAGGTTTTCCAAACACTTTTCGCACGGTTTTCAGTCTTGCTTTTCACTTTTCGTTTATATGTACAATATTGTACAACTGTATCAAGGGATTCTGATAAGACATCTAAACATGTACTGTAAATTGTGCGTATCTACAAGGTGAAATTGTAAATTTTCTGCAACAGTCTGAAGTACTAGCATGATGTGTATTGAAAGTGTAAACATAATAATCTAGGTATATGATAGGATATGTAACTCAGATTTGGAACCCAAAACAAACGTGTCGTTTCCATCATTCTGCTTGAACATTCCGAGGTTATTGGTGACATCGCTATTGTTTCTAAGAGTTCATGAGGAATGTGTATCTGATGATATCGATGCCGGTGCCCTTGCTTCGGTGGAATCCCTCATGACGGTCACCAAGAGGTGCCAACAGCAACCCATGGTTACCATGCCATGGTAAGATCATGACAATCAGAAGTGAAATTTGATCAGATCCCTCAGTCTATATATATTGTCCAGCTGTTGTCTAGATGCAATGAATCTGGCTTTAAGCACTTGCATCCACCGGATAGATGTTCGATCAACACCAAACCCATTGTTTGAGTAGTAAATCGCTTCAGTTCGTAGGC